AAAAGCAACCAATCGGTGAAAATGGTGGAGGATATGAATTTTCTGGTCACATTCAGATTGCAGCACTTATTTTGTAAAAATCAAGATTCAGCTATTTTATTATCATTTCAAAATTGTTATGTCAGTTCCTCTCATCATTGTGCATTTATTTGTCAGATTTAGTTTACATATAAATACTTTTAAAATTTTAATTTTGGCTTCAAAAAATTGAAGCAGGGCTGATTTTGTATTTCAATCTAGAGATTGGCAGTTTGTGGGCGTGATTTTTATTTGTTATTGTTTACACCGGATGTTGACTCACTCACATTGCATAGGCATGTTTCTGTAGTGATGGCGCCAAAATGAACCAATAATGTGTATTGGTACATGTTATTTTCTGTTAAAAGGAATAAATATTTAGATTTACTCACATTTATTAGTAAATCCATTGTATTTCAACATGTTCCATTTAATATGAATAGTTTGTGAAGAAAAATAATTCCCACAATCACAATACTGTTCAGTCTGAGTGAGAGAAAACTCAGTTTAGGTAACCATCCTCAGAGTTAGTCCTGAAATAACTCATTCCTCTGATCCAAAACAAATATTTTCACTCCAAAGTGTTCATTACATTATGTCAAAACTGAAAACTCAGTAATATTACATGTATAATGTCTCCTGAATAATCCTTCAATACACATGTTGTTCGTCTAGTTTCATTGCACTCTGAACTGCTCAGCATTTGAAAGGTACAGAAAGGACCATCTTAATAAATATTGAATTAGTAAACCAAGGCATAACTATTAAATTTATATAAGAACTATAAATTATAAACTTTCAAAATATAATAATTAACTTCTATTGTTTTATTGTGACTTATTGTTAACGTTATTATGAATACCCTTTCTGTGCCTCGCAGGCAGAGCACATTGGTAGAAAAATGCGGGAAAACAGCCCCAGTCATCACCTTGAACTTCTGAATCAGTAATATTACTCCCACAGGTGGCCAATGTTGTCAGGATTAGGAAACCAGCCCCTCACACATTTGATTACACAGGCATTATGTCTCTGCGATGCCACACTAAATTCCTGTATCTTAGGTCTTGTTCTAATGCCCTTCTTTTTTTCTGAACATATCTAGGGTGATTCCAGATATCTCTATGATACATCATAGTCCAAAATCTTTTGTACTTTTCTTTACGTAAATTTCTGTTTCTCCTATGTTTTGGGTGAGGGTCAGTTTCCCACCACATCTGCCTATTTACTTCATCAGTGATACATGTTCTACAGAAACAATATATACACTCTGAACTATTAGGATCCTGTTGAATTCTGAAAGGTTCATTTACGAACTCATCGTTGTCATTTATTTCTTCTTCATGTTCTGGTGAATCAGTCCGAGTCTCAACATTCACTAAAGAGTTACTATCAGAAATTACTGCAGAATCAAAATCCCAATCAAAATGATGAAAAACACTGTCCTCTTATATTTTCTAACTGATCATCACTCAATAGCATTAAAACCTGCCGCTTGCTTGCCATTTTTAGATTTCAGATACTGCTGTCAAAGTTTTCGCGCGAAATGTCAAGTTACTCTGATTTAATGCCCATTAGCAACTTTAGCCAGTGCAGATGCCAAACAATTATATGCGAGGGGGACATACAGGAAAAATATACTAACAGTAATCAATAAATTAGTAAATAAATTAAAAAAAATTTAAATTTTTTATTTTGCCATGCTTTTTTCACTTTCTCTCGTTCAGCAGAATGGGAAGATGGAGGAATTACATGAATAAATATTAAATGTTAAATGTCATTTAAAAATTATTTGAAAGATGATTGTGTTTGGATTTTCTTTTTCTGAAATTCCCATGTTTTCCCCAGAAACCATTTCAAGGGGGACAGAATGGATAAGCCTTATATTCACCAAAGTTTCAAATATCAGGACTGCATCACTTTTGATCTGGATGGGGATACTGAGCTCTATCAAATAATTTCTAATCATTAATTATTCATTCTTTTGGTTATTTGCAAATACGAGTAAATCCTAGAACAACTTTTTTTAAAATTTGGATTCAGAATTTAACAAATGCTTTGAAAAATTACAGTTCTATTGCATACTATAATGTCCTACATACCCTCCTTTAAAAAAATGGACAGTACCCAGAATTCTCCAAATTAAATTTGATTCTCCATAACTACCTTGTATTTTCTTCCTTCTAAAATCTAACATGGATTCTGATTCTAAAAAACGCCCACAATCATTCAAGTTATCTATTCCGGGGGATGAGCAAAGAAAGGCTTCAATATTATCATTACTAAGTAGTGTCAGGGAAATATTAGTGAGGCAGCTAAATCATTCAGTGAACAATGGAGATATAATTGAAAATGCACTTACTGCATTCTTGGAAAAGCATAGGGACAAACAGGGTGAGACAAACAATGAAAATATGGATTTCAACACCTATATCCAAGTACAGAAAAAGATTCAAACCAAAGAATATTTCTGACGGCTGAAGATTCACTAAAACGTTTGGTTCAGTTGTGGAAAATCACGCAAAAGTTTGTAATGGGAGATTTGTATTAAAGAAAGTAACCGAAAAATGACTTGTGGCTGCTGTCAGATTTAACTGTGGTACAGACAAAATTCACAGCCTGTTGTGGTCATCCTCCCCTTATGTACCCAACAATGAGTACCTAGTCAACAGAAGAGTCACACAGTGATTTGCATGCAGTGGTATGTTACCAGTGCACTACATGAGATTCTCCAAGGGGGCCAACATTGGAGTGATTAACCAAAAACAAAAACAAAAAAAAACAAAAAAAAAAAACAGAGAGCAGTGCTTACAAAAAATCTACCCGCATGTTGAAGAAGAATACAAAGAGAGTATTGACTTGGCACTATGGGGTGAAGTAGGATGTGAAGAAGATGATAGAATCACTATTATGACAGATGCTCGCCACGGATGGAGAAAAAATGCAAAAGACTCCAGCATTGTTGCCATTGGCGAAAAAACACATCGTGTCATAAAATGTGAACACGTCACCAAACAAAATGACCACGTCTCTCAAAGACATGAAAAGATTGGAACAGAAAGAATTTATGACTTTCTTGATGAACAAGGTGTAGATGTAAATGTACATATTCACGATCGAAACTTGTCAATTAATAAGTTGGTGAAAAACAAAGAAAACATTTTCAATCAAAATGATTCCTGGCATGGTGTTAAACCAATAAAGGAAAAAATGAAAAAAGTGTCCAGCTGACCAGCATATTCAAAATGTAAAACCTGGTCAGAACATCTTCACGACAAAATCGAGCCAGTGGCAACACACTGTCATTGGGCATTGCAAAACTGTGATCAAGACCCAGAGAAATTAAAGAAACGTTTATTGAACACAGTGGAACACTGCAAAGGAAACCACAGTGATTGCCATTCCTCTTCGAGATGTAAAATGGACAAAAACTATTAACTTTCCAGAGTTGTTTTGGTTAACAAAGTTTCTGAAAAACTATTACGCAGTGTTATTGTCAGCTCAAAATTGTACAAGCATCCTGAAGATTATGTTTTAGCAAAAGACACATACTATGTGGAAAGCTTCAATAACACCATGAACATTTTTCAAGACAAAAGGATAGCTTTTGGAGACCAGACATACAGAGCCAGATCCTATTTACATGTAGATGTTTGTCACTGGAATGAGATTGTAGACAGAGAGTACACCTCTGTATGGAACCAAAGAAGACCCGATGCTACCAGAAGTTCCAAGGTAAAAAAAGTGTACAAAGCCCCAACATACACATACAGAGATAATATCTGGAAGAAACAAATAGCTGCTCTGCATAAGATAGAATAGATTCAAAGTGTTCAAAACCAATTAATAACTGGGAGATACTGTGTATTATATTAAAGGTTTAAAAACATTGGAATTAATTTCATCAAGGCAATGACACACTAAACAAAATATGCTGATATGATTTTCTATTATTTTGAATTAATTTTTAAAGTTTGTTTACATCATATACAAATATTGATTTTTTTTAATTCTAAGCACTAATGTTGAGCATAAACATCAAACAATGAAAGCTGGACTGAAAGTTGATTAATTTTTGTAAGCTAAGTTGAAATTCAATGTGAAAGCATGAGATTGTGTGAAAATATTCTCTGATATCTTTTAACTTGTGTATTTACCTAATATATAAATATATTGTTCATTTTTAACTTTATTATTTTGGTTTTGTTTTTATTCAAGTTTATACATGCATATCTACAATAGTTGTTATAATGCATGTGCCGCTCCCTGCTCTACAAATATCGTCTGCTACAGAGCACGTGTTAAAACAGACATCAATTCTGCTGCTGCTCTGATAACAGTGCTAAGCCCTACCCCTCTTGCCTTATATGCTTAATTGCTGTAGGGGTGTAAATTTTTCTAGGTCACTCTCGGCCTTTAATTAAACTCTGTACACATGACAGAGCACGGACTGACAATACTGGTGAGTTGGTTTTGCTTTCGAAAATTTCTACTCTGAATTTTCTGGATTATAGAGGTAATATTTTTCATTAATACATAACAAAATCGCTTCTTTTCTTAAATATTAAGGATAAAGTTAACATTTGTATAAGTGCAAAGATGTGTTAATCAAACGCTCCCGGAATTCGTAGTTCCAATAATTTCGAGATAAAATAAGTTTTTAATTATATTTTCGTGTGAAATGCTATTGCAATATATAAGTCGTGATATTATACAGAAAATATGAAGTTCAAATCTGTGTCTAAGCACCTTTAATAACAAATGCACATACATTGTAATATAACTTCAAATGTATATCATAAAATGAAAATTACACATCACATATTTAAGTGTAAATTTACAGATTAAAGTTTTAAAATTTTACAGATCAAAGTGTGGAAATTAAAAAATAAAAAGAGTCAATATGGCACCAATATGCTTCCGTACAAATGCAAAATAAGACAGTCCAGGCATTCCATAGGATTCGATTGTGTACAGGGGGGACTGCCATTACTGGACTTTTACGAGAAGCACTGACTTTTACACTTGACGGCTTACATTGACATTTAAACATGAATTATGTGCGGAGGTACGGAATTGACAAATAGATTAGAAAACCTTACTAGTGGACATAGGTAGGGTGTTAGGGGCACTTACATGATTTACCGGTATGCAATCAACACGAGAGATGACGGGAGGTAGAATAACATAACTTAAAATACCTTATTCGTGAGGGGTAGTACCTCCTTTCAATCTTATTTTATGACGGAATCAAATAAGGAAGAAAAAACGTTCCGATAGGATAACTTGGCAGGAGTATGTCATGGTGGGAAAGGGACGGGTTTAGTACAGGGCGTTTCTTGTTCCCCTCCTTAGACAATGTATTATGTGCTTTGAAATGTCAATCATTATCCTTTAATTAACGGTTTAGCTAAATATTTATATCGCAAAAGAGCTGCCGTATATTGTCCCAGTGTAAAAGTAAGTCGTCGATTGTAAAAGTCAGCGCTTCTCGCAAAAGTCCACTGGCATTACATCAGGTACGTTTAGAATTAGAACGATTTTAAATTCTACAAATTTATTATTAATTAATTACAATTAACGTAAGTGATACAAATCGCCATTTAACAGTCTGTTTAATCCGAGGTTCCTCTGACGACTCCCGCTCACCACTCATGCCTGGCGGACAGGCAGATTGGGGGCGGGGGATTCCCATTTTGCGACCAAAATTATACAAGGATTAGTCTATATCTAATAAATCGATTTTTTGTTGTTGTGTTGCTGGACCCACGGTGAACCTTAAGGCTGCCCCAGACCTCCAACTGATGCCCCCTTTTCAAGAATCCTGGACCCACCGCTGCTTAATATAGATAATATACAATTAAAACGGGTGGGGGGGGGAGGGCTTGGGGGGTAGAGTCAGAGAAATCTGAGATTGGGTGGCCTTTACTAGATGGAATGTTCAGATCTATTGTTGAAATGATAAATGTCCTACAGAGCCGGCTGTGATGAGGGCCTGTCCTTATCGAGACACAGATTATTCTAACTAGGGCCTAGCCCTTATACATATCTTTCTTTCAAGAATGATATGGTTGTGTGCACAAACAATTTAATAATATCCAAAATATTAAATATATGGGTAAGGATAGCCATTAACAATTGAACTTAATTTTTAAAATATGTTCAAAATGTTTCATTGAAGGTTGAGTCATGGACCCCCGTACCAGTGCCCAGGATGTGAAGCGATGTGACCTGTGTGAGACCGCTGTGCTACAGATGCACTGTGATACATGTCTTGTCAACCTGTGTAAGGCCTGTGTGGGAGAACACTTTTCTGCTGATCTCTCAAAACCTCATAAAATTGTTGACTTTAAGGACAGAAAGTCTACTCTTATTCACCCCAGATGTGCCTCTCATGGTGAGGAAACATGTGAGATGTACTGTACTCACTGTGATGTTCCTGTCTGTAGTATTTGTCTTGCATCAGATCAACATCTCGGGCATAAATTAGTAAGGATACAGCAAATCCGAGACGAGAAAAGGGATAAACTCATCAAAAAACAAACTGAACTGAAAGAATCGATTTACCCAATCTACCAGGATATTGCGTCTGACGTACAAAACAGAATGAGTCAGTTAGAAAAAGAATATGGAGATCTCTCAACAGCCATAACAAAATATGGAGAGGACTTGCACAGAGAAATTGACAAACTTGTCAAGAAACTAAAAGCTGAAATTGATGAGATGAAAAACACACAGTTGAAAGCTCTACGGAAACATCTGGTTGAAATAAAGAAGACAATTTCTGACATCAAGGATGAAATCAAATCCATTGATAGTGTTCTAGATTCTACTCACATTTCAAGCCTATTTAATGTGCCTTCCACACTTGATGAGTATAAAAAGCTTCCAAGAAAAATTACAGTTTCCTTGCCTAAATTTTCCTTGAAGAAATTACTCACAGACCAACTGTTTAGTCTGAAAATAATACCCTTAAAATCAGATGAATATGGCTACAGCATGAAGACAACACAGAAATCACCAGAAGCTGGATCCTCTCCTCTAGTCAAACAGCTACTTGATCAACCAGAGACTGTCACCATCATAGACACTGGGTATGATAGATGCCTTAAGAGTGTGGCCTGTCTGAGTGATGAAGGAATCTGGACAGGAGGAGATGGCAACAACATGAAACTCTACAGCATCAATCAGGGATCACTACTCAAGTCGATCGCAACCAAGTCAGGGAACACACCATGGGACATAGCAGTGACAAAAAGTGGAGATCTAGTTTATACTGATATCAATGATGGAACTGTGAACATTGTGAAGAATGAGAAGATAGAGGAGGTGATCAGACTACAGAACTGGAAACCTTACAATGTCTGTAGTACCTCCTCTGGTGACCTCCTGGTTATCATGGACAGTGATGAGAACAAACCAACAAAAGTTGTCCGTTACTGTGGCTCCACAGAGAAACAAACCATTCAGTTTGATGATAAAGGTAAACCTATCTATTCATCTGGTCTTTACATCAGATACATAACGGAAAACAGGAGCCTGGATATCTGTGTGTCTGACAGTGAAGCTGAAGCAATAGTGGTGGTCAATCAGGCCGGGAAACTGAGATTCAGGTACACTGGACATACTCTTGCTCCAGAGAACAAATCATTCTATCCACGAGGAATCACCACAGACAGTCAGAGTCACATCCTTACAGCTGATTATAACAAAAACTGTGTCCACATAATAGACCAGGATGGACAGTTCCTCCGTTACATAGACTGTGGACTGAATGAACCCCAAGGATTATGTACAGATACAAATGACAATCTGTTTGTTGCTCAATTTGGAAACAGACAAGTGAGGAAAATCATATACTGCCAGTAAGATTGTCTATCACTGTGAAATAAAATAGGCCACAGAACGGAATATTTATTTTGAATTCATTACTTCACAAATTGTAAACTTTTACGTTAATTTTTTTTTTAAATCAAAAGTACATGAGTATTCTTGTCCTTGGATTTGAGAACAAAAATTGTTTGTCCATTATCTAAAGCTGAAAATGCTAAATATTTATTTTCAATTAGTTGAATTTTTTCGTATAATACATGTTTCATACTTTACAGTTATTAAAAAGTGGTGTAAGAAATACTTTTTCATAAACATTGGCATTCATATGCTGAAATTCATCATATTTTATAAATGCTACTTACACTACATATGTATTTACAAAGCAATGCACTATATTTTTTAATAATTGAAAGTGTAAGGTATTTTCCCGACCCAATAAATTCCATGATGTACATAAAAAGTTAATTTACATGCATACCCTTTTATCAATTATTTTAAAAGTTCAAAAACTCCATACCTTTAATTGAACTATTAAATTTTCACTTATTCTTAATTAAGCTCCTTAAAAAATACTTTAGCTCTTCATTTGAACAGATCTGAATCCCCTTTTCCCAAATTTGTTTTGTGGCAAGTTTGCCTCAATTTTTGGTTGTCAAAAAATTTCTATTCGGTTATACCCCTTTCCCCAACTGAAATTGCAGGTTATTAAACATATATCTGTTTTCATTACTGGTATATTTCAAATCATAGTGCAACACATGTCAATTTTGCCAAAAAAATTATATATGATATATGTACATGTAGGTTCTCCCATGGTTTGCAGGTGGGTACGATTTTTATCCAACTCGTGTGTTTTCTATCCCCATCCTTGATTTTTATACATGTGATAAAAGAAAATTGAAGTATAGATAAACTATCAACATCCTTTCAGTACTACTAAATGACTATCACCGTATTCCTGATCACGGCAAAATAACCTGCAATATTAAACTTTTTTTCTTGCAATGATGCTTTACTTGGTCGGTGTTTTTCCTACTCTGTAGATAACTTGAACTATAATGCTATTTCAGAGAGGTTTGGCCTCTCTCTCTCTCTCTCTCTCTTAAACTTAACGGCAAAGAACACTTGAATTTGTTTTCACTGATTTGTTCACCCTGTACGTCCTCCCCAAAAATGTTTATGAAAAAGAGACACCCTTCTTTTTCTTCCTCATCCAGGAATAGTTGGAGAAAATATAAAAACTGAATATAGATAAAGACACTAAAACTATACCTTCAATGAAAATAGTACAAGACGAAGTCTCAAAATGAACATGTGCCCACCATTTGTAAATTCAACAGACCACCTCAACCCCCAAAACTTGCAATTGTCTTTAAACATGCATCTTTTTCTCTTGCCAAACACAGTCTCTTTTTACGTATGTAACTTTGAAGTTCTGGTCTTGTAGAGTAGACTTCCCCCTAAAATCTTTCCCCTCGAAAAACTGCCTCTAGAGTAGGTTTTCCCTGCGGAAAATAGGCTCTAGAGTAGGATTTCCCCCACGGAAAAATGACTCTAGAGTAGAATTTTCCATACAGAAATCCCACATCAGATCCAAATTTCCGGGGGGAAATCCTCTCTGTGTTATAGTTATAGAGTCATAGTCAATTTTCCCCCAATAAAATACATGTACCATGGCTGTACTTATGTAGGGGGGGGGGGGGACACATTGTTACAAGTGTCCCTTCTTCAAATGGCGACCAGTTCCATTGAAACATACGAAGTATGAAAAATTAATAAAATTTTAAATCTCATTTTTCTCAGTAACTGTCCGACCAATTCTTTTGAAACATTAAAATCTTGTTATTCTTTTCATCTGGTCAAACTGGATTTTGAAGGAAATGGTAAAATGTAATCAGCTGTTTTTTAACTGTGTCCATGGAAACAAAAAGGATTTTTATTATAATGATTTTTTTCTGCAATTGTATTTTAAACTTCATTTACAATTTCTTAATATGTATGTGGTCTCTCTAAGTTTCTGATGTTTAACTATCCGAAATAGCTGCAGTTGCGATGGAACTAAAAATGAGTCATTTATTTCAAAAAATTTGAAATTTTGCAAACTTTAAGAGCGTATTTGCTCTCTGCTTTTAAATTCGATATAACACTGCTGGGGTCGAGGAGACATACTCATGCAGTCATGCTTCGGCTTGCAAAAGCAGTGTTTCTTGTACTGTTAGTTTTTAGCTTTGGCTTTTTTTTTTTAAAATTTTCCCTTTGAAGAATTCGATTCAAATACTCACAAAATAGTATGTGGTACCTTTAATAAATAACAAATTTTAGAATTTTCTCACACACTCTTTGTAAAAAGGATCGAACCATAGATAAAATATTACGCCTTTTAGAAGACAAACAAATAATCAAATTTCAAATTCACTAAAGATGGCTTGCGACACATTTAAAAATTCGTGAACAAACAGGCGCCTAGAGAGTATTGAGACATCGAATCTTACGTTTTCTGAGTGACTAATTTTACAATTTCCTATGAATAAAAATCCTTGTTTGAGACTTGATGATATAAGATTTCATACTAAATTTGACAATTCTTTAGTAGAAAACACTCATATTTCCGTTAAAAACCAGTTGAATTTCGTATAAACTTTTAGCCAAAATATTTTCAATATGATTTAAGCTTTGAAAAAAGAGGGGAAATCCTACTTTGAGAAAGAAAGAGGGGGAAATCTGGCTGTGAAGTGAGATGTGGGATATCATACTCTAGAGTACAGATTGCGGGGGGAAAACTGGCTATAAGGGAAATCCTCCTCTACAACACTGGTTCATCTCAATCAGAAAACAATTTAATACACGTTTTTAACTACAGATCAGCCAGTGACCATGTGCTTTTTAAATTGTGATGCAAAAGAAAAAAAAAAATCTAGGTCTATGTTGAACATACATGTATAGGATATGACGCAAGCTTCATAACTCTTAGTCAGTATTCAAAAAATGGAATATTTGTAGAAAATGTATTAATTTAACTCATTCGAAGGGTTTTTTCCCGTTGGTGGACAGTCCCTCTTTATAACACGGCACTACATTTTTTTTTATTTTGCACCTGTACATGAATCCTTATTTCAACTTAGTTCGCCGTTCATTTTAAGAAAATATATATTTTCTGTTTCTAAAAGTGAAAAAAAATCTCCGGTGGTACATGTAGCATTTAAGGAGCACCAAATTAATGTTAACTTAAAAAATGGAATATACATCTTTGGAATTTCGAGCCATGATATCATTATCAAGTCAATTGTTGCATGCTCTGATCAATTCAATAATTGAGCTCACTGGAATTATATTGCTCAAAGAATTTATTTATTGAAACTACATCCGCAATGTACATCATATCATCCCAGAATTTACATTACACATTTGGTTAGAGACAGCTTTATGCATGTAATGTTTTTATTTTTATTTATTTATTTATTTTTTGAAGTCAATGCCCCCTTCCCATGTTTAAAACTTTACATTAAGTTAATTCAGAGAATTTGTGTCCCCCGCTTAAGGGAAAAAGAAGAGAGTGAATAAATGGAAAAATTCTGCAGATGGATAAAAAATGGTTAACCTTTTCAGCTTTTAGTCTTTTAAAGCCACATAAATTTAAAGTTATATTTTTGTCCTAATTTACTTAAAGATTGAGGGGGTGGTCGGATTTTTATTTTTTATTTTCTATTACTGTAAACATCTACCTAACGATCTTCTTATACAAAATTTTCACATTTTAAAATCCAATATGGATGTATATATTTGATTGCTTATTCTTTAAAATGTGTACAGAAGATTCTTTTTACATAAAATATTTATCACACTGTAATAATTATTTTATGAGAACGTTTGTACAAGCGACACATAACTGCTTGTATGGAATTTGGCTGGAAACAAATACTTTGTGCATATTGTTGCTTTACCTGCTATTCCCTCTTCTCACTGGCCATTTTCTAAATATATATTTTTCGTTTGACCAACAAATACTTCTGCTTGGGCTAAAAACACTTGACCTAAATTAAAAAAAAACAGCGGGACACTTTGAAAGGGGCGGGTGGGACCATAGGGAGTTGTGGTATAAAATTCATTGCAAAAGCTCAAAGGCTTCTCGAGATATCGCCCGGAAACGAAAGTGTTACACACAGACAGAAATACAGACGGACGGACAGACAGACCCAAATTAATACTCACCACTTTCAGTGAAAGCGGGGGACAAAAATCAAAAGACTCTATTTTGTAACGTTACAAATTGGGTATTTGTAAAACGCGTTCAACGAAATCAAAACGAAATGAAACGAAACGGAACAAAACAAAACCAAACGAAACCAAATGAAACCAAACCAAACTATATGCAATGAAACCAAACCAAATGAAACGATATAGATAAGATCATGAACAGCCCACATGTTTTAGATATTCGTAGCTATTTAGCAGTACTAGTATGTATCACTAAATCATCTTTGAAGCAGCCCTGGTTTGCTGTTTTTTTTTTAATTCCCTAACTGCTAATTTGATGAAACTTTAACACAATTAATTAACTAGCTAGTGTACAGTCTATAAATATTCACATATTCTTCAATTTTATTGATTTTGCAATTTAGCTTCACATTTCTTGACAAGGGGCAGTCCAGGCACACTTTTGGTAAATGTTGATGAGTATAAATTTTATACTTTCCCTGTCTTCACACTTGCACAGTTGAAGGGAAGACAGTATACGTGAGAGAATCAGGGAGACATCTATCAGTTATGTAAAACAAATCGGCAGACATATACTGAACTTTATTCTCTATTCTTAAGGAGTAGTGTGTATTGAGGATATTGCAGTGGCGGATCCAGAGGGGTAAAGGGGGTTGCAAACCCCATTTGGATTCGCTTTAAAAAACAAATCAGAGAGAGAGAAAGAGAGATAAGAGAGTCCACTATATTTGTTGTGTCTTTAATGTAGAAAATATTCAATGAAAGGTTTTATAGTAATTTATGAAGAAAATTTGATTATGAAAAAAAACGGAATATCCCCCCCCCCCCCAGCCGAAATAGGATTTCCGGATTCGCAGATTTATTTTCCTGTTTTTGTCAAAAATTTTAAGGCAATTTAAATTTTATCCCCTGGCTCCCCCCCCCCCCACTTTCAAAGAAGATAGTACGTCCCTGCAATATTCTTATTAAGTTGTCGTTTAACTATATGTAAACATACCTTATAACAACTCTCATTTCCTCTCCACCCACCCACCCCCTCTTTGAAAAATTTCTAGATTCTCGCCTGTATTGCGTGTGTGTGTGTGTGTGGGGGGGGGGGGGGGGTAATTGTGCAGAGCGCATTTAATGCATTGATGTAGTAAATACTAGATTATAATTTCATCTTTATCTATTTCTCGCTTTATATGGTACATTTAAATAATGTTACATACATTGAACATGAAATCATTATATTTTGAAAGCCTATTTAAATCATAGAAATGTAGCATCATTTTTGAAAGTTGAAAAGGGGAGGCGAGAGAGAGCAGGGGAAGAAAACTGGGAACAAATACAATGTATATCTCTGAAATCTTTCACAAGCAAATTTTATAAAAATAAAATCAACTTTTTTGACTATACAGAATTTTTAAACATATTAACAACAGTATTTTACTATACTAAAAAAGTGTGTGTGTGTGTGTGGGGGGGGGGGGGGGGGGGGATGGACGGGCTGATGGGTGTGTGTGTGTGTGTGTTTGTAAGGCCGAGGGTTTTATTTCTTACTTAATGATAAAATCAATAATAAAAATTTATAAGCGGAGAAAGGGGGTACGTGCCTAAATTATATGCCGTTTTTCACGATGATATATCGCATAACTTCAGAATGCGCATTGCATATAGTTGTGTTTCAGAGGTTAAAATGCATCGATTTTTTTATCAATTGCATTGGAGTTTATAACATTTTTATGTTTACTTTTATTAGTGTTTTGGCAAATAGTTATAACGTGCGTGCAATTCGTTGCCCCATCATCAATGCAGAGCGTTAAAAGTTTTGGTTATATATGTTTTGTCGAATCGGTGGATACTAGCAATTGTAACAGACACCCCCTTCATTATCCTGAGAACTCCTTTTATAAATAATAATTGAATATTTCAAGCTGACTCTGTATTGCCTTGTTTCGTTTCCTTCGTTTCGATTTTTGGTTTGGTTTCGTTGGGTTTCTTTTCGTTTCTTTTGGTTTCATGGGTACCTGGGTCTTCGTTTATTTTATGTATGTACCTTATTGATATGTAAATAAAAATATATGTATGCAGGCTGTACGAAATGGCGTCTGCTTAACTCGTTTGTTTACATGGCTTGATCTTTGAATATAATGCTGCATTTACCGATCTTTATGCACCGGACGTCTCGGAACATTGACTACTTATTGAAATCTTGCAAAAAATTCCAGAATCATGATTTTAAAACTCTCTTTTTTAAACTTTTCGTTAACGTACCCGAAAAGTGCAAATACTAAAACCCGATTCAAAACGATAAATCCCGTCCATACAGACAGTTCTAAATTCCAGAGGCATTCCAAGACATTTAAAAATAGTTCTGATATTATTTAAGTTATATTTAAATTTCCCAGAATTATTTTGAAGATGTGATAGTTTTTCAATAAGTAATCAATGTTCCGAGGCGCCCGCTGCATAAAAATCAGTATGTGCAGCGTTATTTTCAAAGATCAATTCATGTAAACAAGCCAGCTGAGGAGACGCCTTCATACCTTTACTTCTTTTACACATCAATAAAGAATATACATATTATAAACTAACACTCAAGTATCTGTGTATATTGCATCAAATCAGGTAATGTCTAGTACATTTTTTTCCTTTTTAATTCTACAAATTGAGTATTAATTTCAATTATTGGAAGTGATGGAGATCGCCATTTAATCAGAGATTCCTCTGCCTGTAACCATGATGACCTCTGCTCATGTGCGCACATTTCACAGACACAATATAATTCTAGTGCCTAAACTGGGGGTTAGAGTCAGGGGAATCTCGGATTACGTGATCTTGTGCTTTTCTTTCAAGATTGAAATGGTTCTGTGCACATACGATTTAGCCAAAGCATTTAAAATATGAGCAAGGATACTTATATGGTAAATTGAACAAGTACTTCTTAAAACATTGATGTTCAATTAAAGATTGAGTCATGAACCCCCGTACCAGTGCCCAGGACGTGATGCGATGTGACCTGTGTGAGACCGCTGTGGTACAGATGCATTGTGATACATGTCTTGTCAACCTGTGTAAGGCCTGTTTGGGAGAACATTTTTCTGCTGATCTCTCAAAACCTCATAAAATTGTTGATTTTAAGGACAGAAAGTCTACTCTTATTCACCCCAGATGCACCTCTCATGGTGAGGAAACGTGTGAGATGTACTGTACTCACTGTGATGTTCCTGTCTGTTGTATCTGCCTTGCATCAGATCAACATCTCGGGCATAAATTAGTAAGGATGCAGGAAATCCGAGACGAGAAAAGGGATAAACTCATCAAAAAACAAACTGAACTCAAAGAGAAGATTTATCCAACCTACCAGGATATTGCCTCTGATGTACAAAGCAGAATGAGTCAGTTAGAAAAGGAATATGGGGATCTCTCAACAGCCATAACAAAACATGGAGAGGACTGGCACAGAGAAATTGACAAACTTGTCAAGAAACTAAAAGCTGAAATTGATGAGATGAAAAACACACAATTACAAACTCTCCAGAAACAACTAGGTGAAATAAGCAAGAAAATTTCTGAGATTAAAGATGAAATCGAATCAATTGATAGTGTTCTAGAATCTACACACATTTCAAGCCTATTCAGTGTGCCTTCCACACTTGATGAGTATAGAAAGCTTCCAAGAAAAATTACAGTTTCCTTGCCAAAATTTTCCCCGAAGAAAATACAGGCAGACAAACTGTTTAGTCTGAAAACAATTCCCTTAAAATCAGATGAACATGGCTACAACATAAAGACAAGTCAGAAATCACCAGAAGCTGGATCCTTTCCTGCAGTCAAGCAACTGCTTAAGGAACCTGAGACTGTCACCACCATAGACACTGGACCGTATAATGACCTTCTCAATGTGGCCTGTCTGAGTGATGAAGAAATCTGGACAAGTAGAGATGACAGCACCATGAAACTCTACAGAATCAACCAGGGATCACTACTCAAGTCAATCACAACAAAGTCAGGATACAAACCCTATGATATAGCAGTGACAAAAAGTGGAGATCTAGTTTATACAGATTACAATGATAAAACAGTGAACATTGTGAAGAATGAAAAGATAGATGAGATTATCAGACTACAGAACTGGAAACCTCGAGGTGTCTGTAGTACCTCCTCTGGTGACTTCCTGGTTATCATGCACAGTAATGATTACACACAAACAAAAGTTGTCCGTTACTTTGGCTCCACAGAGAAACAAACCATTCAGTTTGATGATGAACGTAACCCTATTTATTCATCTGGTGGTCATTACAGATATATTACTGAGAACAGGAACCTGGATATCTGTGTGGCTGAATGTGGACCTAAAGCAGTAGTGGTGGTCAATCAGGCCGGGAAACTGAGATTCAGGTACACTGGACATACTCCTGCTCCAAAGAACATACCATTCAATCCACGTGGAATAACCACAGACAGTCAGGGCCACATCCTTACAGCTGATGATAACAATGACTGTGTCCACATCATAAACCAGGATGGGCATTTCCTCTGTTACATAGACTGTGGACTGAGTGGACCCTGGGGTCTGTGTACAGATACAAATGACAATCTGTTTGTTGCTCAGTGTTTAAACAAACAAGTGAAAAAAATCAAGTACATGTACTGCTGATGAGATTATCCATCACTGAATAAACATAGACCACAGAACAGAATATTTATTTTGGATTCAATACTTCACAGTGTGTAAACTCTTACATTTAAAAAAAAAACAAAAGAAATACTAGTAGGACATATGTATTCTTGTCTTCAAATTTGAGATCATGAAACTGTTTGTTTATTTGTTTTCAGTTAGTGGCTATTGGTACTTTGTGGAACGAAACAGTATCAAGTAGATAGCTGTAAAATAAAATGCCTACAAGTTCTAGTTTATGCATTCATTTGTCGTGATATCTGTAATTTCTATGTAAACTGTATTGAATGATTGATAGTCGTCTATTATTTTTGCATTCCTATTCAAATTTACCATTAAAAACTTCGGTATATCGCTTTTTTGTTTACTGACAAGTCTGTATATTAAAGAAAGTTGCCGCCAGCATATGACATGATTCTTTTGTTTCGTTCCGTTCCTCTTTATACCATATCCGTGTGGAGCGGAATTGAACGAAACACAACGAAGTTGAACACATACTTGAAATGTTACGCATGCATCAGGGATGGGGTAATGTGTAATGGTAATTGACAGTAATTATTTACGAGTTTTGATGTAATTGAAAGTAATGTGTAATTGGCCCAATTTTCAATTACATGTAATTGTAATTTAATTAATTACTTTCGAGAAAAGCATGTAATTCACAATTACTTTTCAATTGCATTCAATTACACTGGTGTTTAATAAATGAGAAATAACATACCACCACCACCCCTTCAAATCCCATAGACTTTATTCGAGAAAGGTTAACTGATTTTTTTTTTTTTTTACAAAATGTTCTATAATATTTTTTTTTTAAATATATATTTCCTTTATTTAGTGAATTGCTGTTTCCTCTTTAAAATGCATTTTCTTCAAAACTTTTTAATCATATTTATCTCTTTGTTTAAAATGTACAAATAAAATTAATAATTTCCATTAAGTTGTTTATGAATTGACACTAAAAATATCTAGTCCAATGGCTTCTATTCCTTTGTTTGCCATACCTACAGCTTGTGTTAGAAGTGATTAACAGGTCTAATTAGTGCCCTAGGGTCATGTACATATTAACACTGAACTTAAATAGACATTTTAATACACATTCTAATACACTCATTATGTTATGTTATGTAAAACAGCATCCAGGTCCTGTAAAAGGACAATGTCCCAGTTGAAAATTGGTTCTTTCTTCCCCCAAAATTCAGGTAACAATTCCCAAATGATGACCAAGTTCAAGTTTTTGATCTGTTTATATATAGAAATAACATGCTTTGAAATTTTAATCATTTCTAAAGATTTATATCATGTGTATATCGGAAACAAGTCCACTATTTAGCTCTTTAATCAACAAATAAATAAAAGTCAACAACATTTCCCAATTTTGCAACTTTTCGATTAAAAATTCACAATTAAAAGGGTGCAAGACCCTGGACCAAAAAGGGTCAATAATAAGCCATGAAACTTGCTATTAGTCAGTTTTTATGTATTCCTGTCACAAATGCCCCAGTGTAAAATATCTTCATTGTGGCAGAAAAATCTTTAAACCTGATAGATGTACGTTAGGGGACACAATATTTAAAAATTTCATTAACATCTAAACAATGTTTACTTCATTTAAAAAAAAGGGAATGTACGAGGGGTGATCAAAAAGTTTGCGAACTATCTCTATATTTACAAAACAACAATTCAGATCAGAAAGAAATTTGGCACACATAAAGTCATACATATATTCTATAAATAGCAGGTGTTATATAATGTTTTGCTCCGTGTTTGTGACGTCACAAAGTGAAAATGACGTCAATATGTAGGTGACTTGTGACAAAAAATGGTTGACTCAGTCGTACTCGAGCAACGAACGGCTGTGAAGTTTAACAAATATCTTAGAAATTCCTTTGCAGTAGAATATGATAATTTGTACAAGGTTTATGAAGACAAAAGACTTACCAGAGGTTCAATCATTAATTGGATTGATTGTTTTAGTAAAGGCAGGGAGATGGTTAAAAATGATGTTTGTTCTGCTGCCCAGCGAAAGCAAGTCGGGGAAAAGATGTGTCCTTAGTTGAGCAATTTGTCATGAAAGATCGCCAAGTTACGATTAGAAAAATAGTTGAATATCTTAACAATAATATCATTATTAAATCCCTAAAATATCGTTTACTTCAGACTTTAAACATATGAGATATGATAAAAAAAAAAGTTCGTCCATACTTTATCCACATTGAATAAACGACATTCCCGAGACAGAGGACTCGGGTTTTGATGATCACCATGCTAATTCTGGGAAGGGATGTCCTTATCCACCCATCCTATTGCCGAGATTTGGCCATTTCTGACAGATGTAATGTTCTTGTTATAAAAAATAGCTTGCATGGTAAGAAATATAAGACTCGGAAAAATCTTTGAGCTTCTGTGAACAGAACGCCACGGAGCATGTCACGTGACCGCCTGGATCACGTGATTTGCGCATGTGCAGAACAGTGGCAGATGTGCATTATAATCGGAGAGGACTACTTTAAAAAATAATGAGCACTGAAACCTCATTTTATATCCTTTAAGGAAGTAATTCAATTAGTTCGCGAACTTTTTGATCACCCCTCGTATATGAATATAAATGAACGTTCATGACTATTTATCATTGTTTATTTTTATACATTCAACCTAAATTTTAATTTGAGAAAAAGCTCTTGCATTCAAATAATTAAAAGAGGCAACGTAAATGTGCAAAAGTATGCCAAATGTCAACATTGTAAGTATGCACTATTTTTGTTTTGTTTTAATTGTTTTTAGTCATAGACACTTGAATAAAATTTCTTGGTAAAGGGTAGACTCACAAGCTTTCTGACAATAAACCTCTAATAATCTTAAATAATACATCTGTCAGATCCCCTCAAGCTTTCAAGATCAAGATATTTTCGCTCTTCCTTCGTGTATACACAAAAGACAATTGCAGCTTTCCCTTCCGACAATCGGGGGAAAATCCGGGAAAAATCTTTTTTGTCTCTTTTGTATTGTTTATCTAAATTTAACGGATGGAATTAGATTAATTGAACAACAACAAAGTGCTTGCATACGATAAATTAAAGTCCAGGCTTTTGATATCATTGACAGCTGCTTTTTCAATAAAAATGGAACTCGTAAATTTACTTACCTTGTCATTGATCATTTGCAAAATTATTTGTTAAAAGCATTCTGATGGTACATACAAGTACTTTGAAGTTGATATTAAAAAGATGTTTGAGTTTCTGATTGACAATATTCATGTGATTTTTGGAGACCAGATCTTCTAACAATCTATTGGAATTCCCTAAAGTACCAATTGTGCCCCGTTATTAGCAGATTAGCATTATTTTCTGAATTGTCGACGGAATTTTTCCGTTATTTCTCGATCATGACAAGGAGCACACGGCGGGTGTGACCGGTCGGCAGGGGATGCTCACTCCGCTATGGCACCTGATTCCACCTCTGATGTTTTAGAGGTCCGTGTTTGCTCTGCTCCAAAATTTGTATTGTTTAATGGACCTTTGATCTTGAATACTTTTCGTTATCTCCATACATTTCACTTAGACTTTTTCATTTATAACACAATCATTGAGAGTGATCTCCCATTTCGAATTCTTTAGGCGGTGAAAACAAATAAAGCGTAAGTTACAGAGATAAACAAAAGCACACCTGCTTCTTTTAGTGGGTAGAATCATCTCTGCATCAAGAAAGAGAAGCAGTGATTCCTTTGTTGTACATTGTGTTAAGGAGACAGAGAGTCAACAAATCAACAGATCGTTATATTTATATCACATTTTTTTTATGACAATCTATTTCTAATAAAGTGAATTACATAATAGAAACTGTCAACCAGTCTCTTTACAAATATGAATAATAGCTTGATGCTGAGGAAAGTAACTCAAAAATAAAGAACAGTGCTGGTATTTTTGTGTCTTGTTTCTAAATTGGCATATCTAGATGTCATTGGAAATAAGGATTCAATAATGAATATTGTACATTATAAACTTTATGAAATAAATGGGTTTGGGAGAAATCGTATGTTGAAAAATTATGTTGGCCCTTTTAATCAAAATTTTACATAGGAAATGCATTGAGAATTGTAAAAACATTGATTTAAAATCTGAAAAAGAAGTCTGATTTGATGGGTTAAATAAACCAGAATATAAAACGTTTCGTATCATCAAACCTGTTCAAGAGTTCTTGAAAAATTCTATTCGAAAGCCAGGAACCTTGCCAATGTCCTGTTTTTTTTTCGAAAAGAGAATATCACTTTTAAAATATATAAATGACAATACCTACTTAATTTCAAACAAACTAAAAACAAAAGGAAAATAACCTATGAGCTACAAGCAGCTATAAAGTCTATCCTTTTTCTGTCCAAAGCCGTGGGGAAAATGCGTACGTTAGAAAATATGGAGGTTCACACCACGTGATAAAATTAAGGAATTAAAGTTTAACGAAAGTTAATTTTGAAAATTCATTAAATTTTTTCTTAATGATAAAAACTTTAATTCTAATTCTCTTATAGAGTTAGACAAACGGACACAACATATGTGCAAAAGCATAAAATCTATAAAAATTATGTAAAAATAATCGACATTTTCCGTAGGTCAACATTTTCTAAAATGAAAAATCTCCCTTTTATATTTACGTACTGGACACAAAAGTTATCTCTCGCTGTTTATCAAGTCAGTTTTTAAAAGCCTTGTGGATGCCTTTCGTTTCTCAAAGTTCCAATACCAAAGTGTAGTGGATATTGGTAATTTAAGGAACGGAACTAGTTATTAATTTCTTTACGTTACTATTCTCCTTTTAAAAATATCAAGAGTCTAAATCTGAACCTTACATATATCAATAAATGCTGAATTAGTTAACAGATATGTCGGCCTATAACATATTACACATAACGTTTGTCTTTCATTAATTAACAATTTCAATTGCAAATGAGTACATGATTAATTAGTCAAATTAGTGAAAGACACGTTCTACATTTACAAAATATTATTAAAACTAGTTTATAAATATTTCAAATTGATTTAGATATGGTATTTAAGTTTTATTAGCAGCATCAAGGTCCGCAATATATAAAATAGATGTGCATACATGTGCTATTTTCGACTTTCTGAAAAATCAAAAATATAGTAAATTTGATGCATAAATGTTATAATTTTCCTCTTCGAACATGGATTCTAATCTTCATTCTCCCTTTCATATAACTTTTTGGTATTTAACATACGGGGTTACTTTTTCGATAATTTAATTGAAGAATAAGAGTGCTTGCATGCGAAACATTACAAGTCTTCAACTTCGCTGTGTTTCGTTCATTTCCGCTAAATACTTCAGAATATCCACACGGATATTGGTACTTAGTGGAATGGAGCGTAACCAGAGAATCATGTCATGTTGGCAAAATGCGACAACTTTCTTTACTAAACATACGTGTAAGTAAACAAAATATATGATCTACCGAAGTTCTTTGAATAGGAATGCATTTACATCTGATTCAATAATAATGAATTTCAATCATTCAATAAAGTCTACAACTACAGATGTCACAGCAGATCAGAAATCCTCACGACAAATTAATGCATTAACTAGAATTTATAGGCATTTTATTTTACAGTTCTCTACTTGACACTGTTGAGTAAATTATGTAAAATAAGGAATTTATTTTTCAAATTTTAAACTCAGTTCTATTTTCCGTACAAGGTAACCCAACACTGGTTCCGTTCAGTTTCGTTCCGCAAAGTACCAATAGCCCATGCCAATTAGTTGAAATATTTCTTTTACTGAGAGGAAGTGTAAAGGTTAATTATACTTAAATTTTCTTTCATAACATAAAAAAAAATCAAGGCTGGTGATAGAAAACACAGGAGTTGGATAAAAATCGTATCCAACTGCAAACCATAGGAGATCCTATGTATATCAGATATAAAATTGGCACTCACTGTACTGTGATTTGAAGTACATTTTGTATATCGGTAATGAAAGCAGACATAATGTATGTTTAATAACCTTCTTGCCAGTGGGAAGCAATTTCAGGATGGGGTATAACCGAACAGGGCTTCCCTGAGAAGCAAAAATTGAGGCAAAGTTGTCACAAAGCAAATTTGGGTAAAGAGGATTCAGTTCTGTTCAAATGAAGGCCTATACTCTTTTTCAAGGGGCTTAATTGAAAATGTGAACATTTTTAAAATAGATCTTTTAAAAATCTAAAATTTTTGAACTTTAAAACAGTTGATCAAAGTTCATGCGTGTTAATTGACTTATTAGATAAATCGTGGAATTTATTGGATAGGGGAAAATACCTTACAGTTTCGCTTATTAATAAATTTGTATATTCCTTTGTAAATAGTTTAACCAGCGTAATTTTAAACGTGGTGATTTTTATCATATGAATGCCGATGTTTATCGAAAAATGCCATGCTAACACCTTTTTTGATAACTGAAAAGCATGATATAAAATAGAAAGAAATATTTCAACTAACTGAAAACAAATAAAGACAAGAATACACATTTACTATTCATTATTATTTTTTTTTGTACTTTACTTTTTTCAATGTAAAAGTTTACACAATGTAAAGTTTTGAATTCTAAATAAAAAGTCTGTTCTGTGGACTATGTTTATTCTGTGATGGATAATCTCATCAGCAGTACATGTACTTGATTTTCTTCACTTGTCTGTTTCCCCATTGAGCAACAAACAGATTGTTATTTGTATCTCTACACAGACCCCAGGGATAACTCAGTCCATAGACTGCTAGTATGTAACGGAGGAACTGTCCATCCTGGACTATGATTTGAACATAGTCATTGTTATTACCAGCTATAAGGATGTGCCTCTGACTGTCTGTGGTGATTCCTAGTGGATTGAATGGTTTGTTCTTTGAAGCAGGAGTATGTCCAGTGTACCTGAATCTCAGTTTCCCGGCCTGATTGACCACCATTACTGGACTAGCAATACAGTCAGTCACACAAATATCCAGGTTCCTGTTCTCAGTAATGTATCTGTTATAAAAACCAGATGAATAGAGAGGTTCAGCTTTATCCTCAAACTCAATGGTTTGTTTCTATGTGGAGCCAGAGTAACAGACAACTTTTTTTGTTAACGTAACTGACCATGATAACCTGGAGGTCACCAGAGGAGGTACTACAGACACCGCTAGGTCTCCAGTTCTGTAGTCTGATCACCTTCTCTATCTTCTCATTCTCCACAATGTTCACAGTTCTATCAATTTGATCAGTATCAACAAGATCTCCACTTTTTGTCACTGCTATGTCAGATGGTATCTTCCCTGCCTTGGTTTTATGGACTTGATTGGTGATCCCTGATTGATGCTGTAGAGTTTCATGGTCCTCTCATTTCCTCTTGTCCAGATTTCTTTCTCACCCAGACAGGCAACATTGTAAAGCAGTACATACCCAGTTTGTATGGTGGTGACAGTCTCGGGGTTCATCAAGCAGCTGTTTGACTTAAGTAGAGGATCCAGCTTCTGGTGATTTCTGTGTTGTCTACATGTTGTAGCCATGTTTATCTGATTTTAAGGGAATTATTTTCAGACTAAACAGTTGGTCTGTCTGTAATTTCTTCGGGGAAACTTTTGGCAAGGAAACTATAATTTTTCTTGGAAGCTTTCTAAACTCATGTAGTGTGGAAGCCACGCTGAATAGGCTTGAAATGTTTGTAGAATCTAGAACACAATCAGTTGATTTAGTTTCATCCTTTATATCACAAGTTTTCTTGTTTTTTCATCCAGATGTTTCTGGAAAGGTTTTGTTTATGTGTTTTTCATCTCATCAATTTCGGCTTTAAGTTTCTTGACAAGTTTGTCTATTTCTCTGTGCCAGTCCTCTCCATGCTTATTTATGGCTGTTGAGAGATCTCCATATTCCTTTTCTAACTAACACATTCCGTTTTGTACATCAGAGGCAATATCCTGGTAGGTTGGGTAAATTGTCTCTTTCAGTTCAGTTTTTTTTTTTTTTTTTTGATGAGTTTATGATGAGTGCCTTGCCTAATGACGGTGTCAATCGAATCTTATGAACGCCTGGACTGTTGTATTTTACAAAATTAAATTCATGATATTAAGTATGGAATCTGTAAACTCTCTCTCTCTCTCTCTCTCTCTCTCTCTCTCTCTCTCTCTCTCTCTCTCTCTCTCAGAAACTTAACGGCAGAGAAAACATGATTTTTTTTTTCACTGATTTGTTCACCCCGTCCCTCCTCCCGAAAAATGTTTATGAAAACGAGACACCTTCTTTTTCTTCCTCATCCAGGAATAGTTGGAGAAAATATAAAAACTGAATATAGATAAAGACACTAAAACTATACCTCTAATGAAATTAAACATTGATCTTTTTTCCTTGTCAAACATATTCTCTCTCGACGTATGTAACTTCCGGTTCACCTCAATGCGTAAAGAATTTAATGCACTATCTAATGTATCTTACTTCAGTTTAGCCAATGGCCATGTGCTTTTTAAACTGTGATGCAAAAATAAACATTATCTAGGTTTATTTTGGATATACAATGTACATTTATAGGATAAGACACAAGCTTTATTACTCTTAGTTAGAATTCAAAGATGGAATACTTGTAGAAGAGGTATTTAATTTACCTCATTCGACGGTTTTTTCGTGGGTGGACAGTCCCTCTTTATAACAGGCAGGGCACGTAGCAAGCAATTTCGGTTGGGGGCGGGCGGGGGGGGGGGGGGGGGCACAACCAAAAATTTTCAGTTTTGGGAGGCACTACCAAAAATTCAAAATTTCCTTAACAAGCCAAGAATAGATTGTTTGTTTGTTTGTATGTTGTTTAACGTCCCTCTCGAGAATTTTTCACTCATATGGAGACGCGCCAAGAATAGAAAAAATGGTCATCAGATATTATTAATGAGGGGGCACAAGCTTATAGTAGCTATGTTTTCTATAGTGTTCTATATATCAGCAAAATTATTAGTATTCTTGTTCCAACTTAGTTCGTCATTCATTTTAAGAATATATATATATATATATATATATATATATATATATATATATATATATATATATATATATATATATATATAGATATAGATATAGATATATATATATATATATATATATATATATATATATATATATATATATATATAGTGTCTTAAAATGAGAAAAATCCCCGGATATACATGTAGTATTTATGGAGTACTAAATTAAAAATAGAGAAAAACGACCTAAATATAAAAAAAAACAGCGGGTCAATTTGAAAGGGGATGGCAGGGGCCATGGGGAGTTGTGGTATAAAATTTGATTGCAAAAGCTCGAAGACTTCTCCCGGAAACGAAAGAGTTACAGACAGACAAGAATTATGTATTTATGACCTTGACCTTTGTTCTTTTGACATCAAAATCAATAAGGGTCTTCTTTAGGCCAAAGGGAGTTGTGATATAAAATTTCATTGCAAAAGCTCGAAGACTTCTCCAGATATCTTCCAAAAACGAAAGTGTTACACAGAGACAGAAATACAGACGGACGGACAGTTTCAGTGAAAGCGGGGAACAAAACCAAAAGATTCCATTTTTTATTGTTATAAATCGGGTATTTGTAAAGCGCGTTCAACGAAATCGAAAGCAAATGAAACGAAACCAAACCAAACCAAATGAAACGATATAGAAAGACCATGAACAGCCCGCATGTTTTAGATATACGTAGCTATTTAGCAGTATGTATCCACTAAATAATCTTTGACACAGCCCTGGTTTGCTGGGGTTTTTTAACTCCCTTCCTGCTTATTTGATGAAAGTTTAATACAATCAATTAATTAATTACTAACTAACTAGTAGTGTACATTCTATAAATATTCATATATTCTTCAATTTTATTTGATTTTGCATTTTGGTTTCACATTTCTTGACAAAGGGCTGTCCAGGCACGCTTTTGGTAAAACGTTGATGAATATAAATTTTATACTATCCCTGTCTTCACACTTGCGCAGTTGCACAGTTGAAGGGAGGTATATGAGCGAATCAGGGAGACATCTATGGGTTATGTAAAACAAATCGGCAGACATATACCAGTATTCCTATTAATTTGTCGTTTAACTATATGTAAACGTACCTTATAACAACTCTCATTTCCTCTTCACCCCCCCCCCCCCCCCGCCACATAGCAGGATTTTACTATACAGCAACAAAAAGTGTTTGTATGTGTCTTTTTTAGGGGAATCATTTTCATCCAAAATCAATAGTATAAATTTATATGCAGAAAACAGGGGGGGGGGGTGCCTGAATTTTATGACATTTTTACGATAATAGAGGGCGGAGCCCCCTCACGGGGGAGGCGAAGCTCTCCCTATAGGTAACAAGTATGTATAAAAATTTTAAATTCTACTGTGTACTATATTTTTATTACAATGCCTTAAAAACTGAGAACCTAGTCGCCAATATGGCGTCCATAGTCTTTTTCATCTTGAATCTTGCGACAAATCCACGCATAAACGAGATGCTTATGAATTGTAACTTTAATTTAAATCCTGCATTAATGAAGTTTCGCCATTTCCAAAAATCAAAAACAGCCTTTAAAAAAGTAAAGGTATGCAGGCTCCGGAATGGCGTCTGCTCTACTCGCTTGTTTACATGGTTTGATCTTTATGGACGTCTCGGAACAGTGATTACTTATTGTAAAAACGCTCGTATCTTGCAAATAGCTTCAAAAAATGATTTTTAAACACTTTTTTCAAACTTTCCGGAACTAAGTGCAAATACAAACGATAAATCCCGACTATTCAGACACTACATTGCAGGAAAATTAAAAATAGTTCTGAGATAATTCAAGTTATATTTAAATTTCCAGGAATTATCTGCAACATTTCACAGACACAGTATAATTTCAGTGCCAAAGTGGGGGTTAGAGTCAGGGGAATGTCGGATTACGTGGCCTTAAGATTTCCTTCAAGAATGAAATGGTTGTGTGAACATACAACATTGAAGACATTGAATATGAGCAGAGGTCACTCATATGGTAAATTGAACTCATACTTTTTGAAAGGTTGTTTACTTGAAGACTGAGTCATGGACCCCAGCACCAGTGCCCAGGACATGATGCGATGTGACCTGTGTGAGACCGCTGTGGTACAGATGCACTGTGATACATGTCTTGTCAACCTGTGTAAGGCCTGTGTGGGAGAACACTTTTCTGCTGATTTCTCAAATCATCATAAAATTGTTGATTTTAAGGACAGAAAGTCTACTATCATTTATCCTAGATGCACCTCTCATGCTGAAGAATCTTCATGTGAGATGTACTGTACTCAGTGTGATGTCCCTGTCTGTAGTATTTGTCTTGCCTCGGATCAACATTTCGGGCATAAATTAGTAAGGATGCAGGAAATCCGAGACGAGAAAAGGGATAAACTCATCAAAAAACAAACTGAACTCAAAGAGACAATTTATCCAACCTACCAGGACATCGTCTATGATGTACAAAGCAGAATGAGTCAGTTAGAAAAGGAATATGGAGATCTCTCAACAGCCATAATAAAACATGGAGAGGACTGGCACAGAGAAATTGACAAACTTGTCAAGAATCTAAAAGCTGAAATTGATGAGATGAAAAACACACAGTTACAAACTCTACAAAAACATCTGGATGAAATAAAAACAAAAATCTGTGATATCAAGGATGAAATCAAATCAGTTGATAGTGTTCTAGATTCTACACACATTTCAAGCCTATTCAGTGTGCCTTCCACACTTGATAAATATAGAAAGCTTCCAAGAAAAATTACAGTTTCCCTTCCTAAATTTACCCCGAAGAAATTACAAGCAGACCAACTGTTTAGTCTGAAAACTATTCCGTTAAAATCAAATGAACATGGCTACAGCATAAAGACAACACAGAAAACACTAAATGCTGGATCCTCTCTTCCAATCAAACAACTGCTTGATGAACCAGAGACGGTAAACACCATAGACACTGGGTATACAGGTATACTTAATGCACTTTACAGTGTGGCCTGTCTGAGTGATGAAGAAATCTGGACAAGTGGAAATGACAGAACCATGAAACTATTCAGCATCAATCAGGGATCACTACTTAAGTCAATCACAACCAAGTCAGGGAACAGACCATATGATATAGCAGTGACAAAAAGTGGAGATCTAGTTTATACTGACATCAATGACAGAACTGTGAACATTCTGAAGAATGAGAAGGTAGAGGGGGTGATCAGACTACGGAACTGGAGACCTCTTGGTGTATGTAGTACCTCCTCTGGTGACCTCCTGATTATCATGATCAGTAATGATATCAAACAAACAAAAGTTCTCTGTTACTCTGGTTCCACAGAGAAACAAACCATTCAGTTTGATGATAAAGGTAAACCTCTCTATTCATCTGGTCATTACGACAGATACATTACTGAGAACAGGAACCTGGATATCTGTGTGTCTGACTGTGGAGCTGGAGCAGTAGTGGTGGTCAATCAGGCTTGGAAACTGAGATTCAGGTACAACGGACATACTCCTGCTCCAAAGAACAAACCATTCATTCCACGAGGAATCACCACAGGCAGTCAGAGTCACATCCTTACAGCTGATAATAACAATGACTGTGTCCACATCATAGACCAGGATGGACAGTTCCTTCGTTACATAGACAGTGGGCTGTCTTGTCCTTATGGACTGTGTACAGATACAAATGACAATCTATTTGTTGCTCTAAGTAAAAACAGACAAGTGAAGAAAATCAAATACTGTCAATGAGATTATCCATCACTCTAAAATAACACAGCCCACAGAACAATTGAATTCAATACTTCATAATGTGTAAACTTTTACATTAAAAAAAGGAAAAAAAAAGAATCAATATTACATGTGTATTCTTGTCTTCAATTTTGAGAACAAAGAAGTGTTGTTCATTGTCTAAGGCTGAAAATGTTGAATTTTTTTCAATTGCTCGAAATATTTCTTTTTATTTGATACATGTAGAATACGTTTTAGTTACCAGAAAGTGGTGTAAGTAGTAAAGACATTTTAATAAACATGGGCATTCATATGATGAAAATCATCATACATGCATATTAAAAATATAGGTATACTATTTACAAAGGAATGCACTAATTTATTCATAATTGATATTGTAAAGTATTTTTCCCTATCCGATAAATTCCTCAATTTATATAAAAAGTTAATTTACGAGGGTTGGCCCAGAAAAACGGGAACATTTTCAATATCTTATGTTTCACAAATAGTATAAAGTTAAAATTGGCAAACACCATAATCAGCATTTTTTGAATAATGCACAAAAATGTCAATAAAATATTTCTATAAATAAAATTTTTCTCTCGGGTAAACGAATCTCACAAAATAGCTGTCGGCGCAACACTGCAGACGTCAAAACGTAGCTCGCGGCGTTTGTGAATTTATTTTTGGAATCGTGCGTATGATAAAATTCGTTTGGAGCATAAATCCGACACTGTATTTAATTTTCTAAAAGTTATTCATCTCAAATATTACTGTTTCCAAAAGATCGCGGAATTAATTCTTTTAATAGACAATTTCATAACACCGGGCACACATGTAAGTTTACCTTAATGCTCGCAAAGTTAAACGGCGGACGCCACGTACATCAGGCCTCTAAGTGGTCTCTGAAATTTAGGCGCCAGCTGGCGCCTTGTCAAAAAAAAATTAGTCTCCAATGCAAATTTCTAGTCGCCAGGCAATTTTTTAAGGCATCAACTTTAAAAGAGTATAGGGACCCATGACGTGCCTAAGAAAAAACGACATGTCCATTGCTAAAAATGATTTCCTCTTCTCTTAAATTTCTTTTCGCTTTTTTAGAAAAATTGTTAAAAATGTGAAAATTTCCGGAATTCGACAATCACCAAGTCAATTTAAAATGGTCGCCAATTTGGCGACTTATGGAAAAATTTAAGGCGCCAATCAAAAATTTTAGGCGCCATGGCGACTAAATTAGTCGCCAATTAGAGCCCTGCTGTATGACGTCCAGCTTCTGACTTTGTTGTTTGTTGGTCTACCAAACGCTTCTTCAATCGAAGAACCAGTCAAACCATCCTCAAACCTCTTGAATTAGGTATAAATCTTGTGTTCGAGATATATGTTTGTGTCGTTCCATCGTTTACATCTCTTTCCCCGTATGGACAGGAGTCAAATCCCGCTCAAAAGTACTGCTTGATAGTTTGGTGCTCTGCATTATCGCCGAACGTCACCATTTTTGACGATATCTTAGTAAAAGTGTTTTTCATTTAACGCCATATTTTTGTCACTTGTGATGCCAAATTAATGAATTTTTACACATGAGTACTCCAGATCATAGAGTTTTTATTGAGGTAAATTTTATCACATTATATTTCCGTATAACTTGGTAATATAGATAACTTCACTGACAGTGCTATTTTTTAAACTAAAAAAATGCCGAGCACCAGTATTTGACACCCTTTAAATGCTATTTTTACATGCATATGACATTGCAACATTAAAATATTTTGTCAAAATAGCAAAAATTTCATTTCCCAACAAGGTACCAAAATCATTTATTTTGGTCGAATTGTTTTTTGAAATATTCAAAAAGTTTGCGTTTTTCTGGGACAACCATCGTACATGCATTAACTTTTATCAATTGTTTTAAAAGTACAAAAATTCTATATTTTTTTTAATTGAACTATTAAATTTTCACTTATTCTTAATTAAGCACCCTGAAAATGAGGATAGCCCTTCATCTGAACAGACCTGAATCCCCTTTACCCAAATTTGCTTTGTGGCAAGTTTGACCCAATTTTTGCTCGTCAAGGAATTTCCGTTCGGTTATACCCCTTCCCCAACTGAAATTGCTTCCCACTGGACATTTTCGGTTGGGTGAACATTTACAAAAGACCTACTACGAATCTTCAGTATGCGCATTATGCACTAAAATGCACAACATTTTAAACTGCTTTTTATACCTGGAATGGGATGTCATCAAACATGCTAAGGGCTTTTTAACTTCTGAAACATTTAAGGAATAAAGTTACCAAAGCTCAGACATGTGCATCTTATACAATCAAGGGCGTATAGAGGGTTTAAAGTGGGATGAGGGGAGCGCCTTGAGATTCCCCTCAAAGCTTTTGAATACTAAAGAGGTCAAAAATGAAGTCGTCTGAGAGGACACGTTTTACTATTTCTTGTCGTCGTAATTGACAAATTATTGTAAATTATTTTTTTTATTTACATTGTCTATTGTATACATACATATATGGATATGAATGTCTACAAAAACAGTATACAATGGATTTTTTGCACACACACACACACGCACACACACACACACACACACAGTCACTCGCACTTATCGGATTAAGCTGGAAATATGCTGAAGGAATATGAAGGCTGCTTTAAGAGGACAGAAATCATTATATCTATTGTTCACAAACTTTAAAGAAAATACAAACAATTATTGAAAAACAAATATAAAACATTCAGTAGTATTCAAAAGATTGGTTAAAAAGGAGAAAAAAAAAACATTTCAATTGGGTTCAAAAAAATTTCTTCCGTAAGTCCCATTTCTTATCAAACAATGATAATTTAGAGTTATAAATTGATACACTTCTCTCAATGTTATATTTCATTTTCAAATGTTTTATAAGGCAAAAAAAGTTTGGTTTTTTACATGGTGATGAGCAAGTAAAAATATGCTGCTAGTGTATAATATAATAAAGTGTATAATCATGTTATCTTAAGTTAGTAATATTTCACCCAAAATAATATTTTTAATATTAAAACCATTCTTTTAGAAGTTGTTCTACAGATATGCATACTCAAATTTCTCCATAAATCCACTATGTCATTACAAGTTACAAATACATGTTGAATAGTTTCAATATCCTCCTTACAAAAGTTGCATGAATCAGATGTTTTAATGTTCACTTTTTGAGATAATATCCAACAGGAAGAATTCTATGAAGTCGGTATTGAAACCTCATTTGTAGTCTTGAAACACTCGAAAAACATCTTGTGTGCTTATATTATTTACTCCATGGGAAGTCAACTCTACATTCCACTTTGAAAATGCTGTAGGCTGCATACAATTTTTGGTTATGACATTATAAATATGTTTTGTACATTTATTATTTAACAAAATATTTTCATAATAAAATGGTAAATAGGGCAAGAAACTTTTCTTCATTGATGTTCTCTCAATTGCCAGATTTTAAAAGCATTTTGCAATAGCACTAATGACACTATTGAACTGCATTACATTTAAAGTGGATATATTAAAAATTTTTTGAAAAGCAGACTTTGAAAGGAAAAATACAATCATCAGACAGAAAGTCTCTAACAGTTTCGACACTTTTAAGATACCTATTTTCTATAAAAAATACTCTTATTATCAATCAATCAATGTTTTAATTGTATCGGAATATTACAAGCTTTATTTTTCATATCCTTGTCATGTTCCACCATTTTCATTGCATTCTGCCAAGAACTTAAAACATCAAACCAGAAAAGATTGTTATAAATTAAATTAAATTTCCATGATCAATCGAAACACCGGTATTATGAGCTGTTGAGCAGACAGCTGCGTTAGTTAAAGTGTAGTTGGAGACCTAACATGATGCGGTTTGATGTAATTTTTTTTAAGAGACGCACGTACAGGACATTTACTCAAAAATTCAAGAAAAAATATGATTTTCATCTTCAAAACTTCAATCATTATAAAAATTGAAATACATGTATTCTATATCTTCGTTCATTTTCTGGTAAATGCCAGCTTCTATACATTCAATCTAAGAGGAGGGACCTCATTCTAGAAATATTCTTCTTTAAAGTGAATACATTTAGTCAAATATTGACAAAATAACTTTACAACTTAACTTCATATCATACAAGATGAAGTATATATCATACAATCTTGCTTTCCTTAAAGATATAAAATTTATTGCGTTGGGTTAATAAAATCTTGATTGATCCAAAATTCCAGACCCTTAAGAACTATTTCAGTTTGGGGGCACAACCAAACAATACTACCGACCAGATTTTACTCAGTGACGTAGCATCGGTTTTAGAGTGGGAAAGGGGGGATGTCAGAGAAAAAAATTCGACTAACCCGAAAAAACTTGATAAGGAAAATAGGTTCCAAATTCTTTCAGTACTAAAATTCATAACTACTATATTGCCCGTATTGGACTAAACTGCAACAAAAATTGGGAAGTGTGGGTTGGGGGAGGGGGCAACCGAGCAATATTGGTTCAATGAACACTTTCAATAGTAAAAAGTTTTGATTGGAAAAAATTCGGAGGGTTGCAGCCTCCCCCTGGCCCCATGATGCTACATGTCTGTTCCTTCACAAGCCACTAAAAGGTCATCAGAGGCATTTATGTGGGAAGGGGGCAAACATTATTTTAACTTTATTTTCTTTACTTTACTATATAGTGCAAAATTATTGGGGGGGGGGGGGGGCTCTCCACTGCCTCCATTTTAGGTTCATACAACCATGAATTTCATATTCCAATTCATTTCTGACATCCTTACCCGATGTTGGCTCTACCTCGAAAATTCTGCGGAATGCGTTCCCAGTATCTCATTCGCCGGAGTAAAGCTTACTTTTTACAAAGCTTACTCCAGCATTCAGCATCACATGTGTTCCTTACTAGCAAGTTTAATAAATACAATTCGAGTACGTGCTCTCGACTTTAAACTTCTGAGTCAGAATTTGAAGCCAAGTTCTATAACCACAAATTTTTTGGAGCCATAATCTAAATTTCTATTTCGAGCAAGAGTTTCAGCTGGAGTCCGA